GCATAGCGTCTGACACGAATGCGGCCATCATGGTACCACAAATTAAAGCGGGATTCGTCAGAAAACACGACATGCTGCCAATCAGCACGCCAGTCTCTATGCTGATTGGCCCATTGTAGCCGCAGGCAGCGATGGTCGTGCGTTAGGGGGATCCTGTATAAAGGAGTCCGTGCGCGCAGTCCACACTGCAGCAGACGTCTACGAATTGATGAAGCACACAATGAAACACCTGTAGCTATTGACCAGAGTGCTGCCAATTGTCTAGAGGAAGCTGTACGGTCCGTCCGCGCCATGCGGACCAGGTGTCTATCATCGCGAGCTGACGTCACATTTTGGGGTCCACTCCCGGATTTCTGAGTTGTCCGACACTCGTCTGTCCACTGCTTCCAAACGCGCATCACTGTGCTGCTGTTACGCTGCACACGAGAGGCTACTGCACGATACGACAATCCAGCTTCACGAAGGCCGATGATTCTCCCTCGTTCAAACTCTGTAAGTTGTTCAAATCTCGCTCTCTTTCGTCGACGAGGCAGATTGAGTTAAGGTTTACCACTATCAGATAACCACCGATAACCATACACGCCTCGCTACAGCCGTCTATTTATTCGGATCCATCAGCCATTCAGAGGGCGCTGCTCAGCATACGCATGCGCTACGGATTTGCAATTCTAATCATTCGCATATCATGCGCTACTTTGCATTTCCTGAAAATTTCAGCTCACTCGCGTAAGTCCTTCATGGTGTTGCAATTTTCACAAACGTGAGTGTATATCAATTACTTACGGTAACATATGGAACAAAATCAGCGCCTTTTTTAGCAGCAAGAGTGTTGAAGCAGTTAGCCATAGATGAAAAGGATAAGTTGGCTTTTAAAACGACACTCAACGATTTTTATGTTGATGACATTTTGTCTGGTGCAGAAGATGTCACCTCTGCTGTAGAATTGCAGTGGCAGTTAATAGCCATGCTACAATCTGCGAAAATGGAATTGCACAAGTGGTGCTCAAACGAAAAAATTCTTTTAGAACAAGTTCCATTCGAAAAACAAGAGTATCGTTTTGGAGAATCTTCACAAAGCATCATAAAGACTCTGGGTTTAAGATGGAATCCAGAAAAAGACTCTTTTAGTTTTACTGTGTCTAGTTCGTCAAAAATCTGTACAAAACGCACGGTTTTGGCAGATATTGCTAAACTTTTTTATCCTTTAGGTTTCCTAGGGCCTGTAATCATGCGTGCTAAGATATTCCTGCAAAGGCTGTGGCTTTTACATCTAGAATGGGATGATCCACTTCCCTTCAAAGAGAGACTAGAATGGGAGACATTTCAAAAGGCCCTACCAGAGTTGAGACAAATCAAAGTCCCTTGTTACACTCTAATAGAAATTATCATCAATTAAAGAAATTGAGCTCCACTGTTTTGCTGATGTTTCAAAGTTTGGATATGGTGGAGTAATTTACTTGCGTTGTGTCTCTGAAACTGGCGAAGTTAAAGTGACTTTACTTTACAGCAAATCTCGGGTATCGCCTATCAAAGTAATAACCATTCCTCGTCTGGAGTTGTGTGCAGCAAAGCTTCTTTCCAAACTTGTGTGTAAGGTAACAACATCTTTGAGTTTATATTTTGACAAAGTTATTCTTTACACAGATTCAACAATTGTGTTAGCCTGAATTGCTACATCTCCTCATCTTCAAAAAGTGTTTGTGTCAAATAGAGTAGCTTGTATCCAAGAGCTAACTAAGGATTTCTGCTGGCAACATGTCAGAACCGCACACAATCCCGCTGACCTAATTTCTCATGGTCTGAGACCGGAAATTACTGCTGGCAACTCTTTGTGGTTTCGAGGACCAACTTTTCTGCATCAACACGTCATTAATTATGATAGTGTTAATAACAACTTTGAAAATTCAAATGAGAACTATGTGCGCAAACTGAAACTTATTTCTAATGTAAATTTGACAGTAACTTAAAATTTTTTTTTTGGATTATGTTTTTAGTATTACTAATTGTTATGCTAAATTAATTCCTGTTTTTGCTTATGTTTTAAGATTTATAAGAAATTGTAGATCCAAGGAAAAACAAGTAGGTCATTTGACAGTAAATGAGGTTTCGTTAAGCGAAAATAAATTACTTTCCTTAGTCCAACATCAAAGCTTTCCTGAAGAATTCAAGAACTTAAGAAAAGGAAAGTATGTAAAAATAGTCAGTTAAAATTTTTATGTCCCTTTTTAGATGAATCTTAAGTTATTAAAGTAGGTGGTAGACTGCAGGAAGCTAACTTGCCCTTTAACACAAAGCACCCTGCTGTCCTGCCAAAAAATCCTAAACTGACTCATTTAATTATGTTACACTACCATATTCGAAACTTTCATACTGGAGCACAAGTGCTTTTGCATAGTGTTAGACAAAAATTTTGGCCGATAAGTGGATTTAATCTTGCTAGAAAAATAGTAAAAGAATGTGTTACGTGTGCCAAGGTAAAACCAGTACAGTCAAAAGTCGTTAATCCGGACTCGTCGGGACTTCGGCAATTCCGGATTATCAATTTTTCCGGATTATAGATCATCAGTTTAAATCGCGTAAGATAGCATGCAGAAATTATAAAATTAAAAATATGAAACTGTAATTTATGAAATAAAGAACAATTATGATCTAAAAGGTATCAAAATTTACAAAAAAAAAGCTTAATATTTATTTGTTTACTTTATTAAACATTTCTTTCAATGTAAGTTGTTTAAGTTGCTTCTTTTTATGTGATAATACTTTCTCTTTAATTCTATAAACAGACAAAGTTCCGCTGTTCAAGTCCCGTTAATTGCTGTGCCAAGAATACCGACTAACTTGTCAATCGAAATTTTTTCGTTTTCACTAACCTCTCTGTCACATTCTTCATGTCTTTATCCATTTTTTGCAGCAATTTCACTTTTTGTTTGATGGACATCGAAACATACTTTCATTTTGTACGATCCTTTGGGAGCTCCAGATTCGGAAATTCTATTTGACATAATCGAAAGTTCAAGTTTACTTTTATAGTATTGCTCTTACAGTCTGCAAAAAATAATAAGCCAGATTCAATTCGAAAATTAAGGAACGACGCAATCATCAACATTAACTGAAATAGATAATTAGATAATTTAAGCTTATACCGTTCGTTATACATAAAACGCACATGCGAAAACGTATTCTGCACTTGCGCACACGCAAATGCGCAGTCGTAAGAGGTCTTACGCGCACGCGTAAACGCCTATACGCATGTGTCAACGCGCCGCATGCGCAGAAAGTTTTTAGCTTTGAGGTCCGGATTATGGGTGTCCGAATTAACGACTTTTGACTGTATTGCTGGATCAAAAGATAGGAAATTTACCATTAGAGAGACCAAATCCATCATTTCCCTTTAACCACACTGGTGTTGACTTTTGTGGCCCTTTTGGTATAAAGTATACAACTCAGAAGAAGAGCGTAGTGCACAAGATTATGTTGCAATTTTTGTTTGCCTCTTCACTCGTGCAGTCCACATCGAAATTGTTTCAAATTTGTCTACAGAATCATTTATTGCAGCTTTAAAACGATTTATTTCTAGAAGGGGTAAATGCACTTCCTTATTTAGCGACAATGCTTGAAATTTTGTTGGGGCTAGCAATGAATTGAAACGACTCTATAATTTGTTGAAATACCCTGATGAATTCTTAACCAAATATCTGACATCTGAAAGAATTCATTGGAAGTTTATCCCTCCCAGGGCTCCTCAGTTTGGAGGTATCTGGGACACAGGTGTTAATTTTAGTAGTGTTCAGTTTTATCTTACAGGTGTTCAGTTTTATCTTAAGCATGCACATGGGAGATTTATTTTTACATTTGAGGAGTTTCTTACAATTTTGAACCAGATTGAAGGAATTTTAAATTCACATCCAATATCCCCTTTGTCAAATGACACCAATGATTTAGAAGCTCTTACACATGCACACTTTCTAGGAGGGCAACCTTTAACATCAATAACAGAGGCTGATTTAACTGATTTTTCTGATAGTTCTTTAAAGCGCTGGCAGCACACTACTAAAAGTAACGCAATATTAGTGGAAAAGATGGCAAAATGATTACATCAGTCATTTACAGCAACGATTTAAGTGGTATTTCTCTAAGGATAACGTTACAAAGGGCATTATAGCTTTAGTAAAGGAAGACAACATGCCCACTTCGACTTGGTTACTGGGTAAAATAAAAGAGGTAATTTATGGTAAGGATAAAAAGGTTAGAGTTTGTATTGTAAAAACCAAGTCAGGTTTTTTAAAAAGACCAATAACTAAATTAGTGTTACTACCAGTAGATGTTAGATAACTTCATGATATTTCCTGAGTTCAAAAAATTATTTTATATGCATTGTATTTTAATTTAGATGTTGTGCATTTCATGTTCTGTGGTTAATTATGTTTATTGCTTTTGTTCATGTGTATCAATTTAAATTTTGTGATATATGATTTAGACTACATGGCGATTTAAAACTGTTTAATTTTGGTCATTGTTAACTATGTAAAAAATGCCCACCCCAGGCGGTATGTTAAGGCAGAAGTGATCTTGCAACCACGATGACAGAGAACAACGTGGTCAGCTAGCAGCCATTTTGGATTGATTGCGTGCTGGGAGGTGCCCGTATGTGATGGCAAGAGTGTTCATCCAAACAGAAATAAAATAAAAGAAAGCTACAGTCCATTAAATTCAGTGTTTGTATTTCATGAATAATTTTTAATTTCTCACATATGTGGTAATAATAATAACTTTATAATCTAAGTATATACTTCATATCAGAGTAGAACTAATAATTTTACAACATAAGTTATTGCTTTCATTTTAAACTTTTATCATAATTCAAGTTCTAGCACAAAATTACAATTTTAGGATATTCAGGCAGCCTCTGCTTTGTAATACACTTTTTATCACTATTTCCAGCAAATGTATATATTATAACTGCATGCTAAAAGCTGGAAAGGAATTGAAAGATTTCTTACTTTGAGGTAAATCTTCAGTATTTTCCATCTGTCTGAAATACATCAAAAGACATAAATTTAATAACTATCTACTTTAAACAGTATAATGATCTAGAATTAAATAGAAAAAGAAAATTAATAGGAAACTTCCAACACACCAATGTTAAATTATAATGCAAATATTTTCAAATTTTTCTGTTTGAAAAATTTAATAATTATCTAATGATGAATTTCAGATGTCTTCAAAAAGTCTAATAGGAAGCAAAATATTAAAAAAATACCTTGAAGAAAAAATTAAGCTATTTCATAGTTTAACCCTTTTCGGCATGCTACCTCTTAAAGTTGGAGTTTTGATAAAAAAAAAAATTTTTTTTAAAGGGTAGGCAGTCTAATTAGGCCTAGAGGAGTACACCAGTAAAATTTTTGTGAAGATAGCACTTATCGTTTTAATTCTATGGGTGTGCCCAAAGTGGGCACACTGATTGAATAGAGCTTCAAAAAGAGTGCTGAAACGAGCATTGTTGTCAATGCACTGACCGATGAGATGCGAAGAAACAAAGAATACAGACTCTCAGTCGTCCTAGATTATGGATGAGCACGGTCTGGGCACACCTAGGGTTCGCTGTTTAATTTTAAGCAAGATTTTAAGGTAAAAATTTAAAACTAATATAGAATAAGGAGATTGGCATACAGCCAAAAAATTAACAGAGAAATTTCTTTTCAAACAATTACTTTTAGACCTTAAAAAAAATTTGGAAGATCTCTTTGAAAAATGAGAGTCTTAAAAAAACTAAACATGGCTAAAATATATGGACTGGTTTATGTTGAGCTGCCATCTACTATAAATAAAGAAGGTTCAGAGTAACCTATAAATCCTTTCCCTTTTGATTTTTCTGTGCGTACAGAAGGAAATTTTTAGGTGCGTGTCCAAATTGGACACACTGTGCCACAATCATATTGCAATGCCTTATTTTAAGTTAAAATAACAAGAAACATCTATGAAACAAACAATACACAGAAAAATAGTGCAATTCCTAAAGAAATTTTTACACTTACATACTTATATTTCAATACATATGTATAAGCATACATATTTTCATTGATATGTGCCACCAACTCTTTTAACGAATTGACAAAACTGCTGTAAGTATATTTTAGTTCAAAAATATGCTATATGTAGAGACAAAATACACATATTAACATACCTGGAACTCTCAAGATTCACACAAGAAACAAGTACATAAAAATTTATCCATACCTTGGCGTACGAGAACTGCGTCTCATAAGACCTTCATTTGCTTTTACCTTTCTCGAAGGCATTGTTTCACTTTCCAAGCTAAAAAGCACGGATATAAAAATACAAATCAGTACCATTTTAAAATGCTAATTAAAGAGATTAGAATATCACATTTAATGAACGAAGGAGGAATATCAGACAAATTCAACATTGGCAATCAGAAAATTTGAAATGGATTGCAACAGATTTCATAAAGTTAGATCATTTAAATAGTTCTAAAACAATAACAGGGATTGGGGGGAAAATATTCTAAATATATGCATTTGTTAAATTTTATTCTATTTGCATTTATGTAACTCATATTAATATTTGCACTTCCTTACACAGAAAAGTCCGAAACCCAAAATTATCAAGACTATAGCAATTCTGGATTTTAGAGCATCAATTTAAATCTAGTAAAATGACATGGAGAAATTATAAAACCTAAACTATGAAATGGCATTTATGAAATAATGAATATATGAAATCCCACAAACCAAAATTTATCAAAAAAAATTATAATATTTATTTTTCTAAACATACCTTTCAGTGCACAATGTTTAAGCAATTTCTTTTTTGTGTTAATAATTCATTGCTAATTTTACAGAGAGAGAATTATAAATTTCCATGGCTGAATTCTTGTAATAAATTATGATCTGAAATCTTTTCCTTCTACACAACTTCATCATTTTCTTCACTTTTAGCAGCAGTATTTTCTGGATTTCAAAAATATACTACAGATTTTTTCATATGTTAGTAGATTGATGACTAGAAGATGGCAAAAAGTGAAGCAAATGGACGACGGAGAATCGTCCTACTATAATTTCAATTGCCTCACCAAACAATTCAAAGTTACTGTATTTAATTTTATAATGCATAACACAATTTCATCAATGGAAAGTACATTTTAAGGGGCATAAGAAGTTGTATGAAGACATATCTCCTTTCGATCCCCAAAACCTTTCATTGTTGCCGAACTCTATCTATATGATTAAGGCTCTATGTAGGTGTAACAATAATCTTATGGATGAATATCAGAATCTAGTAAGTAAACGGGAAATACTAAAAAATTCAACTGAAAATCATTATTTTGCATCTGACACCAAGTCAGAAGGAGAGATTGCTGAATCTATTAAAGAGCTTTCATTCAAAACTAAACGAAATTTTTGCAAAAATTGCATCTTGTGTGTATACAAACTACTGAAATATAATTTATATGGTAATGCATACACCAATGTCTTTTCTGCTTATACGTTTGTACTCACCCTATCTCTAACGCAAGTTGAATGCGAAAGAGCTTTATCAAAATATAAAAATTGTAGTCATTGCTATTGATGAACACAGAGCAAGCTATTTTGGCTAAAGCAAAAATTAAACGAAATATTTAGCCCAGGAGCCTGAAATTAAGAGATATTTAAAAGGCTAGTTATGAATCAATCGCTGCTTTGTTTATATAACTATTTAGCCACTGTTATTTATTTGTAGTTTATCTACATATATATATGTAAAGAGCCATTAAATCATGACCACCCTCCATCTATAACAATGGGCTCGCCCAGGAACAAAACCACTGCGCGTGTGTGGTTGAACCCAGAAACCAGGCCCAGAACTTCAAGCTTTTCTGTGGCGTCCACTGCTCTGTATAGCTGAAGGAGCCGAGGCAACAGGGGAAGTCAATTCCTCTACTCAAGGATCCTCCGAGGAAACAGCTGATAGAAGAAGGGGAAACTGAAAAGGAGTCAGAACCAGAGCCTTCTTTGGAGGCTCGGGGGAAGACCTCTGAATAGGTTTCCTCTGTCACGACTTCAAGGTAAGTCGTGGGTTTAAGGAGGTGGCTTTTAATTAAGTCCCTCTTAAAATCCTTCAAGGTAAATTCTTAACTCTCATTTAACTTGTCTTAATGATTTAGGTTAGTCAACTAAACCTGCAACATAGCAGAGCAGCTTCATACAATTTAGCTGCTCAATTAGGTAAACAAGGCACTTTTGTTGCCTTAATTCAAGAACTTTGGGTCTACAAGGATAAAATCCTTGGTAGGCCAATGAATACACACTTCTTTCCATCTAAAAAACTTAATAAAAGACCTAGAACTAGCATTTACATTTCTAAAAATATAAAGGCTATGAAATTATCTCAATTCACATCAGAGGATGTGACTGCTATTTTAAACCAAGGACGTAAACAGTTCACTAAATGGAAACAATTGTTTCTGCTCGGTTTACATGGCTTATGACCTCAACATTCCACAAGAATTTTTAGATCTTGTGAGTTTCTGTGAAACCAACAATATTCCTATGATTATTGGTGGTGATGTTAATGCTCACCACTTATCATGGGGCAGTTCTGATACCAATCCTAGAGGAGAAAAACTCACAGAACTTATAATGAACACCAACCTAACTTGAATAAACAGGGAAAATCACCCCACCTGCCAACAGAAGAGAAGAGGTCATTGACCTCTTCTCTTCTGTTGTTCTGCTGTTCTGCTCTTCTGCTGTTCTTCACTAACTTCATCTAATACCTATAATCATATTGAGAATTGGCATGTAAGTGACAATCCCTCACTTTCAGACCATCGCCTTATATGCTTTCGTATTAGGGATGAAATTCCAGCTGAATTTTTCAGAAACATTAAAAACACAAATTGGGACCTTTATAAGGACTCCCTGGTTTCTAATGTCATTAACCTTCAGGCAATAATTGTTCAGTCGAGGAACTTGATATCCAAGCAAACAACCTGACAAATATTATTATTGAATCCTGTCATGCATCATGCCCTCTTAAACAAAGAAAGTACTCTTCTAGCAAGAGACTCTAGTGGACCAATGAGCTTGAAAGCCTCCGTCTAGAGGTTCGGAAAGCTTACAGGAAAGCAATCAGAAATAAATCTGAAATTACAAAGGAAATTTAAAAGTGAAATCAGGAAAACCAAATCCAACTCGTGGAGATCCTTCTGCACAGATATTCAGTCCTACTATGAGACAGCCAGAGTACATAAGATTTTTAAGAGAATTCGAGAATTTCAACTCTTACCGGTTATGCGACCAAATGGCAGTTATACTATAAACCCTCTTGATATACCATCAACCATGCTGAATTTTTCACCTGAAGGACACAAGTGTTACCTCTGAACCTCATGAAAACTTATTGGAACTCCTTCATAGTCCATTAGATTCGGATTTTGCTAAAACAATAGTCAACTTCAAAAAGGCTAAAGCAACCATAGATGTATTTCTTCCCTTTAAATTTCCACGGAATGATGGCATTTACCCAATTCTGCTCCAGAAAGACTGGGACATTTTTGGCCACATTTTTGTGGACATATTTGAATCCAGCTTGGTTTTAGGATATGTTCCTAAGATATGGAGAACTTCACGAGGTCCCCAAACCAGGGAAAATACATATGAGAAACCAAATTCATTTAGAATGATCACGCTACTATCCTTCCAGCTTAAGCTGTTGGAGCGATTCATTTTCTAGCACCTACAATCAAATAACAATCTGAACCACATTTTTTGGCTTGGACCAAGACCTAACTTCTCCACCGAGTCGGCCCTAAACCAACTGGTGTGCAGAATAGAAAAAACATATATAGACTGGCACTTTGCCATTGAGATTCTACTGGATAGTGTAGGAGCCTTTGATAACAATGGCTTCGAGGAAATACATAAAGCTCTTACTGGAATTCACCCTAAGATAACTAGATGGGTCATCTTTATGATTAAAAACAGGAATATCTATGTTAGTCTCACTGACTGTGAAGTAAAGAGAGATATTACTAAAGGGTGTCCACAGGATGGTATCCTTTCTCCGTTTCTGTATAACCTGGTATTCAACTCACTCTTAGTACTTCTACGGGAGGAGCCTGGCCTGTCACGGGCTTATGCAGATGACCTTAATGTGTTACTACAAAGTTTCGATATTGAAACCCTACACTATCAAGCTCAGCAAATCTTGAATAAAGTATCTCACTGGGGAGAAACAAATGGCCTATCTTTCTCTGCTGAAAAATCAGAAGTCATAGTTTTCACATGGAACAGGAAATGGAAACTGGCAGATTTGTATCTGAGTAACCAGATTATCATACGTAAGGAAAGAGTTAAATACCTAGGATGTTACCTGGACAGTAAACTCACATGGTTCACCCATATAAAAGAAAAGGCACAAACCGCCACAAATGTATTAATACTCTGCAGGCAAATCATTGGCAAACAATGGGGCCTTAACCCAAAATCTACTCTATGGATTCATACTGCCATAGTGCGACCAATGCTTTCTTACGGATGCATGGTCTGGATCAATGTTATTAACAAAAACACATACGTAAACATTTTACAGAAGGTGCAAAGACTTGCTTGCCTATGCATTAGTAGGACTTTAAACAGTACTCCTACTGTCGCATTACAATTTTTTACTGCAAATTCCACCCTTGAAACTGTTCTTGAGCGGAGAAGCAATTAAAGCCATGTATATGTTGAATAAAAATGGCACATGGTGCCAAAGGACAGGTTTCGGTCATAAAAGCCACCTTAAAAGCCACATTGACATATGGACTTGGGCAATGAGATCTCTATAATCTATAAACCCAAGGATGCAATTACTAAAACAACAGTTCCAGCTAAACTATTCTCAACTTATATACCAAAAAGGAATGAGATAGAATCTCTAATTGGCCTAATCCCAACAGGATCAGTTGAATGCTACACAGATGGATCAAAATCCTAACTTCACAGGAGCTGGAGCCTATTATAAGAACCTAAGGGATCTGAAGAAGATTTCATTAGATTTCATCTATACCTGGGTAAACTAACAACTGTTTTCCAAGCTGAGGTTCTGGCAATCAATATGGTTGCCAGGGAGCTCTTAGCTAGTAATACGGTTGACAAGAATATAACTTATCAGGTAAACTCATAGACTTCAGTAAAACTAACTTACGCCAGGTAATTCAAATTGTTACCAGACATGCTTATCTGGCCAAGCATCTCAACAAATGTGGTCTTGTCGAATCTCCTCTTTGCCCAGCTTTGTGGAGAAGAAGAGGAAACACCTATTCACTTTCTGGGATGATGTCCGGTGTTTTCTGTCTCTAGAAACAAATTCTTTGGGTTTCCCTACATAAGCTTCGATCAAGCCCTTCTATATAAAGGGCTGTCTGGCATAATAGGGTTCCTAATGTCTACTAAACACCTACAGGTAAGGTGAATTTGAAACCACAAGACAAAAGCAATGACATGCCCTGCAAGACCCGAGGGTAAAAGAAACTATGCAGGGAATTCTCTCTCACAGCTGTGTTTTGGAATATAAATATAAATATTAAATCTATATACACCACCTGGCCACTTGGCTTAAGGAAGTACCTCTGTCCTCATTATTTATTTTTCAGACTCACCATCGCATCCCTGTTTGGTCATCCTGTTTGGTTTGCATTTAGTGGTTTGGGAGGGATTGAATCAGTTTTTCATCCAATTGGGATGTTTTTATTAAACAATTTAACTGACCCCCTGAATTTAGAGAAGGGATCTTTTACTTATACTATATATTTGGTAGCAGTTTTAGATCTCATCTACTTATTTATTATTTACCTGACACGGGAATAACCATTTAAAATCTTTGTTTTAAATGTTCAAATGACGGAAGAGTAATGGGCAACCTTGTCTAAGCTCTTTTCCTTCTTTTTATAAGAAGGAAGTGCTACCATTGTTAACGTGTTAACACGATAATGCACTATGTCATAAGGGTCGTATCATCAGGGAGTGGTTCGAGGAACATTCCAGTGACTTTAAAGTCATGTCTTGGCTTCCAAATTCACCTGAAATTAATCCATTAGAGCATTTGTGGTCCCACCTGGAAAATCAAATTTGTGCTGCCATGCTACTCTCTCACAATGTGCGGGAGTTGAAGGACCAATTGTTGAGCGCTTGATACCAGATACCTCAGACTACGTATCAGCACCTTGTGGAGTCACTGCCACATCGGGTGCTGGACGTTTTAAGGGCTAAAGGTTATTAACAGTTATTGTTATTAACAGGGTGGTCATAATGTAATGCTACACAGATATATTATAATATATATATATATTATATGGATAAAGTATTGCTTTTCTACAAAGGTATATTTTTATTTTATAAAATTATTTTTATGATGATTATGATAGCAATGATAATTTATATATATAATGAAACTTCATATGGGGCCTTAGGGTTGGCATATTTTTTCCTGCCAGGACTAGTTTCTCTGGCCAGTCCACCACTACCAATAACAAGTGACAGGCAAGATGCTAAAGGTGTAAGACAATGCCTAATAATATATCCTCAGCTATTTGATTTTTTATATTAAGATCTTTTGAACTCAAAAATTCTGAATTAATGGATAAGCTTTCAAAAATAATTGAAAAGAGAAATAATGTTTGTATTAGAGTACTGAACTACTTAAAAAGAGCACAAAAGCTCGATGAAGCTGCTGAACACATAATGTTCATTATCAAATTTACTGGAGCTATTAGAGATGAAAGAACAGATTTTGAAAAGTTGTGATTTAGAGTTGGAAGACTCACAGATGATCCAGAAAAATTTTAAAGTGAATTAAAAGGTTTGGAAGAATACGATGACAAAATACTAAAGATCAAAATTAAAGAATTGAAAGCAGAAAATGTTCAGCGAACTCCTTCAGTTCTTAATACAACTAGTATTTCTGAAAACACCATCACAGCTTTAAAATGACCAAATTTGGAAATTTCGCAGTTCTCTGGCGATTCTAGCAAATTTATGAAATTCTTAAACGTTTTTGATAGTGCAATCAGTTCAAATAATTCTCTTACAAAAATTGAAATACTCAGATATTTAAAACCCTTTCTTTCTGGTCCTGAATATAATGTTGTTGCTGGTTTTGAATTAAATGAAAAAAACTATGACGCATGTCTTGAACTTTTAAAACAAGGATATGGTAGAACAGATTCTATTATAAACTCTTACATGACTAAATTATTAAACTTAGAAAGCGTGAGAAGTTTATCTAATGTTAAGGGTTTACATAAATTATATGATGAAAGAGAAGTTAATATAATAAATTACACTCATTAAATGTAACTGAGGGTTCATATGGGCATTTACCGAATCCAATATTATTGAAGTTGCTACCACAAGATTTGGTTTTAGATTTTCACCGAAAATGAAACAGGGAAGTAAACTGTCAGGTTTCAGAAATTATTATGTTTTTGAGAAATAAAGTGGAATCTAGGGAAACTGCTGAAAATAAGCTGAAGATTGAAGGTAGATGCTGAAGTTGTAAAAAATATCACGTCTTGCGAATATAAGGCAAAAATTGGGTGTAAAAAATGCTCAAGCACATTTCATCATGAGTCAGTTTGCAAAAAAAAAATGGAAATCCTACTACAAGAGGCTGAGAGAAACAAGTGGAACGCGGAACTATTTTGAATAACTCGCAAATCTAAATCTAATAAAAATGGCGAGAATACTTCTGTGTCTCGTAGTAATATTTGTACCAAAAATAAGGCCTTCTTACAAACATGTACAGTTTTAGCACGTTCAGATAAAAAATCGGCCTGAACTAAATTATTTTAGACAATGGCAGTCATTGAAGTTTTACTTCATCTTGATCAGTTAAAGAATTAAAATTAAAGCCAATATGTTACAAAAGGATAGCCATTTTTGCTTTTGGAGACGAAATAGCACAAGTGAAGGAAATACTTAACAGTTTGGGGTGTTATTCATGATTGAGAGAGTAAAGTAAGGTGACGTATGTTCTGAATCTCCCGGAACAGTCCCGAATTTTCAGTTCCTGTCCTAATTTTTTACAACTCGGTTTATTGTCCTGAACTTATAGAATTTGTCCCGAAAAACAGTAGTGAGAGAACACAAAATTTAACTGCATGTATTTATTTAAGTAGTGTATATTGCAAACTGACAATACAAGCGTAAGTTAAGAGACGTGCACCATACTGGTCGCATAAACAGCGGATTCCTCATCTAGTGTTTAGAAAAATTGTAGTGGGAGAGTTCTATTTGTCATTCCTGCGTTTCTCTCCTCAACCCTCCAAACATACACAGAATGGTTAATGGTTGCTCATAGGTCACAATTGCAGTTCAGACTTTTACCTACATACAGCACTGGAATTTTTAATTGATATATTAATTTGGTTGCGATATGAATTTATAACAAATACATACATTTTTTAATTATTAACTGTGCATTACATACATTAGTATGTATCATCCCCTTACACATTATTACACGGCATCTAAAAATAATTCTTTTGTAATATGCCGCAATTCTATTATAGATACATTCCTCTAAAATTATTTTTTTCTCGCGTTTACATCATACAGTTTTTACTCTATCATAATTTATATTTTGCATAAGGTTTAAAAATTTTTTTAAACAATTTGCCAAAACCATGACATGCAAGGATGTTTCCCATTTGGCGACAACATATATTTTTTTTATTTATCAAAGG